CCTGCAGGTTACCGTTATATTTTTACAGAGAACGGTTTCAATTCTAAATTATGTAACAGTTATTTATAAACAGTTATCGAATCCAAAAGAGGTTGATTTATCTAGCTGTGAGTCAGTACTTTTATGTACTCTTTTGGTATCTATTAGTTGTTCGTCACAGGTTTGATTCAGTCTTACACTAGACAGAAATTTGTTTACTACATCGTTTCCCTAAATATGACCTTTGGTCTATAAATAGAAATAGATAGTGGTTGATCCCTTATCTAGTGATGAAACGTAGGTTCTTGGCCCTATTCAATCACGTTTTTCTCTTTATTTACATCAATTAATTATTAGATTAATTTACACTTTTATATATATATATATATATATATATATATATATATATATATATATATATATATATAAGTTTAAACTTAACTATTTAATTGGGAATAAGGTCACTTAATTATTATTTAATAAACTATTGAATGTTCATTTCTTCTGTTTATTGACGTTTCGATCCCGGTATTTTCTTTTTATTAGTCAACCATGGGATCCTCTTCAAAGCTAGAATTTTTAAATAATAGAGCTTCGATCAGGCCAGGGACACACCGACAGTCTCAACACCGTCCACTAGCACATATATTAAGCTACTCATATATGTGTATATTTTTTTTTTACTCTGGTTTTGATGTCCAATCCAGTCTAAGTGTGTCGTCAATTTCATTTTATTAAAATTATTTAATCATGAAATATTTTGCGTCAAAGTTGCAAGTAAAAAGAAAAGAATGATACATATATATATACACTTTTATATACAACAAGGACGTTAATTAATATGGGTATATTTTCTCGTTCATACTATTAAACAAATATTTAAAAAAGAATTAAATAAGACAAAAGAAGATAAATATTGAAAAAAGAAAAAAAATCAGGGTAAAACTTATAGAAAAGCGTACCCAAACAAGATTGAATGGTGAGACTATTTCGGTGGGCTAATCGAAATTTTATCAGTGAGGGCCAAGATAAGTTAGGCATCCTGCCTAAGAATAGACACCATGAAGTAAACAACTGGTTTTGTTATCACTATGCTTTTTGTCCGGAAGCGTCCTATTTGTTATTATTGCGTAAAAAAAATATAATATACATAAAAAATAATAAATAAAATATAAATATATTTTCAACATCTCGGACTCATATTTCCTTAATTTAACAGGAGATCTATTCGAACGTGAAGTTTCCCTTCAAAAGTGTGCCCAATGTTCTTCTAAAATCATAAGGAAACAACTTAAGAGAGAACCATGTTGGCAAAGCGTAAGAGGGAGAATATATGCAAAGCAATTTTACTGTTGGTTTCAATCAAGCTTTCAATAACAAAGGTTTATTCTTGCATGCATTGCTTCCTCTATTTTAACCAGTTAAAGGAAAACGTTTGACGCGTGTGTGATGAAATAAGGCAAAAACACGATCGTGGCACACGCTTCACGTGGAGGTCATATCAGTTTGGTTGCTCCCTGACTCTGGCACACAGTACATGTGTGTAGTTAATTTAATTTTTATTCAACAAGCTTTTTTAAATATAGAAGCATTGACTAAAACAAAAAATATTAACTTGAATTTTCGTTTACATTATATATTTATGATTAATTATTTGGTATTTATTAAAATAAAATCAAACATATTTGAAAATAATTTTTCTTTACATAGTAAGAGTAAAAGAATAATGTTTTTTAAACCTCTTTGCTACTTGACTTAAAAAGATCATAGTAGTAAAAAAATACAATGCTTTCCTACCTTCGGTAGGAAGCAAGCAATAAATATAAAAATTGATAATAATCAACAAATGGTATTTTCGTTTATTATTTGACAGAAAGCCAAATTAACTATAAAGAAGGCTCTCATTTAACAATTTTTTGACAAAAACCTATGATGATTTTCTTATAGTCCGATGTACAGCCCCTTTTTATCAAATTATTAACATCCTGCTGAAACTTCATAAATAGTTTCATCTCATCAGAACCTACAAATATTTTATTTACGAAAACACTTGGAATTGGGGTGTTTTCGATCTGGGGGGCGACAAACTTTGTCGATTAAATTAGGTACTAAAAACTCGTAAATACACATATGATTTCTACTTGAATTGTAAGGTAATTTGATAACAAAATAGAGAAAAAAAGGTGGCCTTCAAAAATATTGAGCCGTTTGGCGTGACCTACCCCCCAAATTTTCTTGAGCGGCCATTTCAATCCTTAATTCAAAGAGTTTTCGTAAATATAATAGTTGTAGATTACGATGAGATGAAGTTATTTACGAAGTTACAGGTGCATGTTAATAATTCGATAAAAACGGGTCTGCACCACGGACTAATATTTTATTCGTTCAAAAAATAAAGATAAAAAAAAATTGATTCATTTGAAAATCATTCATATCCGATATATCGAGTTAAAGATTCTGAACTAATTAACTTCTGAACTTTGATAAGATTATGTCATTTGCACTAAATGTTAATTGAATTAAAATTTCCGTTAATATTTACTAGTTATGATAAGGTTTCATATTTTATACCACCATTCCATTTTTCTCACGTCCTTAAAGCATTCTGACAATCAAAATTTACAACTGTGAATCTATAATATCAGTAAATGTCAGTTAACAATAAGGGATAACAATAAGCAAAGGATTTCAACAAAACGTCGAAAATAAGCAGAATTATTACGGTTTATAATACCTCTATTAGAATAACAACGATTTATTTCAAAATGTCACTAAATGCATTTTTGACACACTAACATATATGTTTTTTTAAAGCTTTAGTTATTTATACCAACAGAGCGTAAATAAATGGAAATTTCACACAACCTTTTGTTGTTCATGTATGTTACATTAAGTTCTGATTTCACAAAGGAAAAATTCATCAAGTTGTTAAATACTTGAAGTTACAAAAGGTCACTTAATGACTTTTTGCAATAAAGCGACGATATATTGAATTTCTAGTCACGCACCTGATTGATTTACCAATTTTAATTATTTAATTAGATCGAATAAGGAATAGTCGATTAAAAAAATAGTAACGATTGTTCTATTTACAGTTATATTACTGTAAATAAGTGATCAAAGATTGGTTTAGAGAAATGAAATACTGATATATACTGATATATATATATATATATATATATATATATATATATATATATATGTAAGAGTAACTAGCTGTTATAAAAAGATAAGATAATAGGCGTATAACGAGAAACACAAAATTAAAATAACAGGTAAATGATTCGGCATTGTCCTTATCGAAGGCGGTTTGAATATTACATTACATAAAATCAGAAACTTTAAAAACTACAACAATAAAAATAATATAAAAATAAAATAATAATAATTAATAATAAAAATAAATCTAATATAAAATTTTATTAACAAGTCTGAAAATCCATCATGAAATTATTTAAAGCGGAGAGATGCATTCAAAGACTAACATGTTTTATAATGTAGATGGTATACCATAAAAAATTATCAGATGGAAATGTTTAGAAGTTTTTTATGTAATTGTTTTTCTTCATATTTCCACCCACACATGTCATAACCTTGACAATTAGCAGATGTGCTGTAACTGATAAAAAAAAATGGCATTTTAGGCATGAGGAAAAATAGAACATAGCAGCATCTCTGTCTAGTCTTGGTTTAGTTCCTTAATTCAGAAAAGGAGATATCTCATCCAGCTCCTCTTTAGTTATTTCCTGATGGTATGTCAGCTGTGGCAATGCCGTTGGCAAATCCGTTGTGATGTCTGTCTAGTTTAAGATGAAATCGGGAGTACATAGTACTTATGTGTTGGTCGATAGTTGGTTGTCGTAGGTCGTGAAGTAAAGTTTTGTTGTTTACTTATCATGTTAATAGTAAAAATCTTTGAAATGAAATAATTGTAGTTCTTGTAAGTGCATCTTTTTTGCAAAACCGTAAATTCGTGAAGAGTATGTCTATATGTGTCTGAATAGGTAAGCTTATGTATTTACTTTTGTCTGATTATCAATTTTGATTTGGCAAAAAATATTTGGAAAACGTTTCATTTTGACATGTGGGTCCCATGTCATCCTTCTGTGAAATATTAACCAGAGATAGCGTCCATCTGAGGAACTGGTTGTCGGTGATATAAACTGATGGACATGTGTCTTGTCGAAGTATAAATATTTGTTTTCATATAATAAATACATTTTTTTTTAAATTTATTTATATTTACATATATCACTACGAGTACTGTTTATTCTCTTTGCGCAAAAAGTGACATTTTGTAGTCTGCAACTGCTATAAATAGTCTGGTAAACAGGAAAACAGAAGAGGAAAATTTAATAAAAAAATATATTAATAAACCATACAAAAGTAATAGTTTTTTAGTAAAAAAAAAAAAAAAAAATTATTTTTATATATGAACTTTTGCATTACTAGTAGCAATAATAATAATAATAAGGCTTAGCGAACCCGAAGGTTCGATGCCGACACCACCAACGCTTGTTACACACCGCCGTCCAAACCCAGTTCCTTCAGATCGACCTTAATGCAATCTTCCCACCTTCGATTCGGTCTACCCCTCGGATGCTTACCATTCGGCACAGCAAATATTAACCTTTTAGGAATTCTCTCGTTACTAAGCCCAACAACTTTACAAGCCCATTTGAATCGCCTCGATGAAATTACCTCAATTATATTACCCGGATACAGCTCACGCAATTCGGCGTTGTGTAACCGTCTGAACTCTCCGGTTAACTCATCCTTTTTCGGTCCGAATATTCTACGCAATACTTTATTTACTAGTAGCAATGTAATTGAAAATTTTTTGATGTGTCAAAGTGCTTCAATTACATTGGCTTGATTGAATGGAAGTTGTGTCGACCACTCAATGTATTAAAATCTGAAACAAATATGAAGTTTATATTATAAATATATAGCATTACAGTCTCGTAGTTCCTAAGTTTTGCCTCCCTTGAAAAATAATAATTATATGTAATTTTTTACAGGGGCGAGGAATGCGACCTGATACCTGAGGGGTGCCTGTACGGAACAGTACGTGACGCGTGCGGCCGCCTGGTCTGCGCGGCCGGCCCCGGCGAGCGCTGCGGCGGGCGAGAGAACCATCTCGGCAAGTGCGGCGAAGGTATGACCTGCAAGTGCGGCAAGTGCAGGGGCTGCAGCATCGCGCGCCTCATGTCCGGCATCATCGAGTGCGAGTACACCAACCCCATCTGCTCGTGAACATCCGTCCTCCGTCCTTTCTGCGTATTATTTATTTATTTATTTTCTTCAAGCCATTGACTTCTCGGACTTATCTGTCAACGAGTGAATAAACATGTGACTGTTTCGACTATTTTAATTCATTACCTTTTTCTCTCTTCCCTGATGCTTGATGATTTCCAATCTGCAGAAAAAAAAAAATCCTTTGTAACTTCCACAGAAGAGGAGGATGAAATTAATATTTTTTTTGAAAGATGGCTTGCTTCTCGAGTGTATGTGATGACGCTTCTTATTTTTGCACAAATTATAATAATAACAAACCGAAATTGGTGGAGGATACAGAATGTTGAGGAGTGTGAGGTGTTGACGATATAAGACTTCTTCAACTAACGAATGTGAATTATCATTGAAAATATTCAAATATAGTACAATTGTATGATAATATATTTTATATGATTAGTATTGTATTATGAATATTCAGTGAATTGAATTCTGTAAATTTTGGTGTTGGTTATTTGTGATAAGGGTTAGTGAGCAATGTGGGTATGGATTATTGCTCGTAAAGACGAAATTTATTACATTCCTTGTATTATTTATTATATAGTATTTTTTTAATGTTAAGGATACAATTATATGTATAGTTGTATGTATGTACATATAAACATTTTATTTTTGTGTGTTAAGTAAATAAAGGATTTTCCTTTTTTTATTTTCTGTGTAATTGAATTCCTATGATATCCTATAGAGAACATCCTAAAATTAAATGAATATTATTTACAATATTTGACAAATGTAGGAAAACAGCAAATTTATTATTAGACTATATTAATTCACTTATGTATATGAGTCAGTAGGAACAAATTCCGACAGGAGTACAAGTAGCTAACGGCGGCTCAAAGACTACTCAAGTTCACTATGCTAGCCAACTTTTGCTCTCATATTCTATTCTTTGTTTTACAAAATCTCGTAGTTAAACTGGAGGGGGGGGGAGTGACATGATATAACGAACCGTAAGATTGATAAAAATGGTCATGGTAATATTTTTTTTAAATATTATATTAGGCGTTTGATAGAGTTTGGCACCCGTGACTGCTGTACAAACTCCGAAAATTCCTACCACCTACATACTTCCTCATTATCCGTTCCTACCTTACTGATAGATACTTTAAAGTAAATCACAATAACGCCTATTCATCCCTTTTTCCCAACCCGCTGGTGTTCCTCAAGGTAGTATCCTAGGTCCTATCCTCTATACAGTTTATACAGCTGACATCCCTACCTGTCCCAACACTGTCGTCAACACCGATGACACATGTATCCTATCAGTAAACAATGACCCAGCAATTGCATCCCAAATGCTTCAATCACACATCATAAATCTAGACGAATGATGTCAAAACTGGAGAATTAAAATAAACTCCAATAAATCCCACCAAATTACCTTTACCCTTCGTCGTAAACCAACGACTTCCTGTCCTACAGTTTCCTTTAACAATACTCCACTTATCCCTGTTGAGCAAATCCGATACCTAGGACTCCACCTGGACAAACGACTAACTTGGAATCCTCATACTAGACTGAAACGACAAGAAACCGCTCGACGTTTCCGATTACTTCAGCACTTACTAGACAAACGCTCTAAACTTCCCATTAATTACAAAAGACTCATATACTTGACTATAATAAGACCTATTTGGACTTACGGAGTTGAGCTACGGGGCTTCACTAAACCATCGAATTCCTCTCGCATCCAATCCTTAAAACCAAAATCTTTCGTAAAATCCTCAATGCTCCTTACTTTGTCACTAATAAAATTATCCATAAAGATCTTAATGTTCCTTATGTTTCAGATCTGGCCCAATCCAGATACCTATCCTTCCATAATAAACTTCAGAATCATCCCAACCCTCTCGTTTCTAACCTTGCTTCCTCTTCAATTCCTGATAATCCTCCGAGACGTCTGAAAAGAAGATGGCCCCGTGATCTCCTAATGTAGTCATATCATTAGAGTGCTACCATTGGGTAGTTACTCAGCAAGTGTATTCATGCCATTATATCAATTATGTCCAAATTTACATGATGTATTTATGTAATACAGTTGTAAATGTCATAAAGAAATAGAAAAAAATATTACATTAGAAAATTCGTCTATGAGAATGAATTTTCCCCATATTTCTGTTTCCTTCCCATTCATAGCCCAGTCAATAATAAGATTGATTACCTGCTCATAGGTGAAAGGCTTGTCTCATCATTGGTCCAAATGTAGACTATAACCGTTACGTATGTCTGGCAAGCTTTAGGCCCAAACTTAACTTGAAAGATTGTGGGTGTTAGGAAACTGATGGAGGAATAAATACTGTGAGAACTTAATAGAAGGTTAGGCTGAGCTGCAGGAGGATGGTTATCGATGGTTAATATTCAATCTGTTCATGAGAGATCGGTAGTGTAATATAAAGGAATCAGGAATAGATAACAAAAGAACTACGGGATTTATGGTTAGGTTAGGAAAGCTACCAGCAACCAGAATGAGATCTACAGGCGTACCATACTGATATCCAAGCTATATCGAGAAGGAAGAAGCGGAATAGGCCAAGAAGAACCTTAAGAAAGTAGAAGACCTTCGAACCATACTCTGAAAGAGCTGGCGATACTAGAGAAGCCAATCCGGTTGGACAATGAGATGCATGAAATGTCTTGTGCGAAATGGCCACGGTCTATCATTTTGGGCTTTCATAATTTCAGGTGTTAGTTATTAAAATTATTTAAATTTCTTTTACGTATTTTTTTTTTACTTTTTTAATACATTTATTGATAGATATTACAATCTGTTACAATTAAAGAAATTTATAATAGTGTTCTGAGAGCTCATTCACAACAAAATAGTAAACATCGTGTAGATTCTGAGCAGTATGAAATAAGTGTCACCATTAAATGTTCAGCTATTTTTTAAAAGATAATATATGACCGTTAACCATACGGCTTACTACCGAAAATGAAGCATATACTAAAATGAGCAAAAAGAAGTACACCGATGATAATACCAAGGACAAGGCTCGTTTATAACAAAGGACAAAGCTGTTTCGAGGACGTTGGGAGGTACATGAAGAACAATGGAGATTTCTGCAAAGGGTTGGCAACCATCCTACAGGAAAGTGTCTGCTGAAGAATGTTGTAAACTACATGCTCCCTGCATATCTTCTAAAGAACTAAAAGTTCACTGCGGTCGGCTATAACAGCACAAAACTACTAGAAGACTTATGAAGAAAGCCGAAAGTCGAGAGGCATTAGAGAGAAAAGAGAGCTTTTATCAGCGTTTTAGTATTAAGTTATACATTTTTTTTGTGACAAAATAAACGCTTTAAAATATAAATAAACTAGATTATAATGTTAGAAATAGAAATAGAAATAGAAAATAACTTTATTCTGGGACAAAGTCCTTTAGAATTACAAAATAGAACATAATTAAAATACTACAACTGGCCAAAATAAAGCAATAATAAAAAAGAGAAAGTAAAGAAAATATTAGTTAAACAAGCTATATGCAAAAATAAAAAAAATATCTGTATACAAAACACTTAAAACTATGTACAGTAGGAAAAATTATAATTATACTCTTTTGAAAAATAAAATAATAAAAAAAAAACATTGAGTTCTTCTTTAAAATGAGGTGTGTTTCTGCTAAAAAAGAAAAGACAAAGCTGACAATATAAAATGTCAGTGTATTTAAATAATCAATAATATGTAGACTCATCATTGTCAAAAATAATAATAAAAAAAAAAAAAAACGATAGATGCGGTCAATGGCATTAAGAGCAGGAAGATATTGTAATATCCCTAGTGAAGTTAACAGTATAGAATAGGACTATCGTTTAATGATGATTAGAAATGTATAATATCAAAAGTTTAGCAAGTATCTGACTGTTTTTGGGATAGGAATTGGAATAGGATGGATTTGAATGTGGATATGGTGGGAGAATGCCGAATTTTGATAGGTAGAGAATTCCAGAAATTGACAGCGCGAGCTATAAAGGAATTTTTAAATGAGGCAGATCTGTGAGAAGGGATGTCGATGTCAGAAGGTCGAAATCTTGTTGAAAGGGTTGGTCAGTTTACTGACAGAAATTAGAAATAAATCGGTTTACCATCTTTCGTAATTAAATTTTATATATAGTTTATACATATATATATATATATATATAATTTAAATAGGAGCTGGATGAGAGTTCTTCTCACCTAAATAAAAAAAAAATAATGACCAGGAAGAGGTGCTGCTAGGTACTACCCTTCCTCATGCCTTTAATGCAGAACACATCTGCTGATTGTTAACACCATGACAGGTGCTAATAAATTATTAAAGAGAAAAAATAAAATAAATAACCACGAATGCAGATTTGGAGTTGAACAATAATACAACATCTACTGAATTTAAACTATTATTGTTAAAGTTTGTAAATACCACAAGAAGTTCTCATATGACCCCGATAGCACTGAACCAGGAATTACTAGAGTTAATTTAACAGCTGGTCTGTCAAAGACTGCTTTTCCAGTGACAAGTTCAGCTCTTAACGCCCTTTGTCCCACTTATCTTCCAACTGAGTCTTAAAAATAATCCCTGGACAATGTTGCGCAATAATGAATAAAATTAACAAATATTGATAATTATTTTTTTTAAATTATATTATGTGTTCATTTTTGGAAATATAAATGACAACATTCAAAATTTAATGACAACGTTTCCGACTCTCTAGTGTATATTTTGATGTTTATTTAATCTAGGAGAGCTAGTTCTTAAATTACTAATTCTCTAATTAAAAATTATTATAATATTCTTTACTCTTTTATTTTTTATTTTTATTTATTTATGATATTTACAACTGTATTAAGAAAGAATACATTAAGTAAATGTGATAACAGAAAATAAAAACAAGAAAACACTTGTTGAGAAACTACCCACTGGTGGCACCCCATCACCCTCCTGAAAAAAAATGCATTTACAATAGAAGATCTCGAGGCCATCTTCTTTTTAGGGGTCTCGGAGGATTATGAGGGATCGAAGAGGAAGCAAGGCTAGAAACGAGAGGATTCGGATGGTTCTGAAGTTTATTATGGAAGGATAGGTATCTGGATTGGGCCAATTCGGAAATATAAGGAACATTAAGGATGATTAAGGATCATCTTTATGGATGATTT